AACGGATTAGCATAACACCATATGTTAGAGGAGCGATTCACAATTTACAAAGCCCTGCCACGCACCAGATCCCTTCTGGGCTTTCATCAGCCTGTGAGGTTGACTGGGCAGGTAATTGAATCCACCTTTCACAGATGAAGGGAAACAGAGGTTCAAGGAAACGTGAGCAGCTTGATCATGCAAACAGACCCGCGCACACGCCAGCGAGTGTGGGGCTGAGTCTGGGGCTCGTCCCAGCACCCCACACTGTCCAGGGTGTCCCTGGTGTTTGGGGCTGGTGAGCGGGATCCTGTGGGATCACCTGTGGGGTCCTCGTCCTTTCTTTTTCATGGAGAACATCTGCTTCCCAGGAGCAGGAAGGAATTTGATTCCCTTGATTGCACTTTGATTGCAAGGAATTTAAACTGCCGGTGGGGACCCGCAGGGCTCTGGACCAAGTGGAGAAAGTTGCCTCCCCATCTGGGCTCCTGACCCGTCTTTCCCTCGCCTTTCAGCCCCTTCACCTTACCTTCCAGCCCCTAAGAAACCGCGTCCCCCTTCCTCTGTCCACTTACTCTAAGGTGTAGACACCTGACAGCAGTTTAAAGGGCGAGCCCTCCATACCTCAGCCTGCCTTACACCAGTGTGGCAGGCACATTCAGGTACTGTTGTCTCCGGGAGGACAGGGCGTGGGCAGATGACCCATGAGGACAAATGCCCGCCATGGTGTTGAATGGGTCCTGGAGCCCCTCTCCATTGTGCCAGGCATTACCCACAACTGCTGGTCCCTGGAGGGAACTGCGAGAGTCCCAGGGGAGGGAATCAGGGCCAACGGGGTGGGGGGCGCTTCGGGGAGCTCTGGGCACTGGCCAGTGCCAGCCAGTGTAGAGGCAGTGACATTTTCACATACATGTGGCCGTATGGGTGCACACCAGCTGCATATCAGTGCTGATTATTTCATTCAATCTCTTCTAGGACATCTGAGGCAAGATATGACACTTGCTTTTCAACTACTGAGGAAACTGAGTCTCCCTGAGGCTCAGCCAGTGCCCACAGCTAGTGAGTGCTCCTGGCATTCTGGAATTCAGGGCATGGGGTGCCCACGAGGGGAGCCCCGCCAGAGGCCCAGGAGCAGGGTGCAGGGAAAGTGGGGAAGGGACAGAAAGGGGAGTGTGTGTGTGTTTTGACTGGGAAGATGGCGCGGGGAGCATTACGAGGGGAAACACCGAGAAACTGAGAACAAGCCTGTCCCCCCCACGGTTTTGCTGTGGCCAGAACCAGTCCTGGCGGAACTGAGAAGCCATTTCCATTGTCTGCTTTGCCTGTCCATCCAAATGTTGTCCCCTGGAGATACCTTCACAGTCACACTTGGAGCACTAGCTGGGGCATTTCTGATTTTAAAAATAGCTGGTGTCTTGGCTGGGTGCAGTGGCTCATGCCTGCAATCCCAGTGCTTTGGTGAGGCTGGGCAGAAGGATCCCTTGAGGCCAGGGGTTTGAGAACAGCCTGGGCAACATAGTGAGATCCCAACTCAAAAAAAAAAAAAAAGAAGAAGAAGCCTCGCCGCTGGCCCCGGGCAAGGGTACGAGTCTTGTGGCAACTGTGTGTGGAGGAATAGCCCAGGGTGGGGGACATGGTGCTGGGTCTCCAGGACAGCCCAGGCCTCAGAAGTCTAAGGGGTATGGGAAGGGTCTGTTGGGGGCATCATGAGCCTCCCAGTGTGGCTCCCCCAGAACCTGACAAGGGATGGAAAGGCGGCTGGCACAGCCCCCACTACCCTGTCAACAACTGTGGTTTCTTCTGCTGCTGTTTCCCACCTCCCTGTTCCTCCCAACAAACGGTATTAATAGGTGTAAGTCTTGTCCCTGGTCCAAAGTGACAAAAAAATAAAATAAATTTCTAGGCACGTGGCCTGGCCTTTGGAAGGAGGCCTCTGTCCCTGTGCATGGTAATGATGCACTCAACACACATCTTTGGTGGAGACTGACATTCTGGTAAAACATTAAAAACCAAATGCAAATTCTAATCCTTAAGAGAGTCATCTTTTTGCCTGTGTTTTTTCTTCCTTGTCCCTTGGTCTCTGCCAATTTAGAGTTGGAGACAACATGCCACATGATTCCTTTTAAAATTGGGCTCTGGCTGGTGCTGCTTCTCCTGCCTACTGCCCATCTGCCAGCTCTAAAGGCAACATGAGCTCTGGGCGGGTGGGGAGGCGCCAGAGGGTGCTCAAGTAGGAACTGAAATGTGGGCCTGGACTTGCTCCCAACAGAGGTGCTTTCATTACCCTAAATGTCCTGCAAATCCTGTTGCCTCTGGCTCCGAAAACTCCAGGCTTGGTCATTGCCGGATGGCCATTTGCATCGAGCCTTGGCATCCTTCTGCAAGTGACCGTGACATGAATCATGGGGCCAGTCCCCAGCCAGGCTGAACATGAGGTGGGCACAGGCTGGCAATGGCCGCTGGGCCTACTGGGGCTTATTGGGGGATGAAGAGGGTGGGGAAGGAGGGTCAGCAACAACAGGGAAGATTGTGAGCCCAGGGAGGACAGGTCGTCAGCCTAGACCCCACCAGAAGCGCCCCTGGTGTTAACTGCTGGGCAGGGCCTGTGATATTAAAACCAGACATTGCCTTAGGATGGAAAGAACAGGCCCAGGGTTCTTTCTTACCATCCCTCTCATTTAAAGGAACGGTGAGGTCCAGACATCTAATTCTTTCCCCTTGAGAAAGTCAATAAGGGAGCCTCAGGCATGCTCTTGTAATGGTTTATTAATGTCACAAAACAAAGCATACTTTATTTTTATTTGAACTGGCCAAATAAAATGTTCTATACAGGGCAAACACGAAATATTTAAATTAAAAATAAATAAGTTAGTTCCATCCTATATAAATCTCCAGCTGCCACATACAAATGAAAGATATCAGTTATAAATTAAATAAGTTAAAATAAATAGTTGTAGGTTGCTCTTTTAGGTCCAGCATAGATCACCTGTTAGCTCCCTAACTTTGTGCTGGACCCCAGCATCGACACTGAATGACACTACTGCACAGTCCACTGGGACCAGCCCGACATTGAAAGAGCACCTGGTGCCCAAGTCTCCAAATCATGTTCAGATATGAGGTCGGATGTTCAGGGTCTAAAACAACAGCTGAAGAGCAGAGATCAGCAAGGTGAAAGCCCAGAAGCCCAGACCTCTTATCCACCCCCATGCCTTCCTAGGGTTCACCTGGAGATATGGAAACAGGTAACTCAAACTCAGCAAACAGCAAGGCATGGGCACAGCATAGCAGTCCTAACAGAACAGTTGAGTCTGAGACCTACAATGTGGCCAAACATTTCTTTGTATCAAGACACAATGTCCAACACAGTCTTGGGCTAAATTTTTGGTTTCATTAAGTAGGTTAGATTAATTTAAACCTCTTAATTAGAAAAATAAGCCTTCTGGAGGCAGAGTTTGGGCAACAGATGACAAATATACAAGGCATATGTCACTAATCCCCTCCACAGGCAGGCATTACTAATTGATCACTACACTCGTCTAGCTCAGATTCCATCTCCACAGAGAACTCCAGGCAGCCTCCACCCACCAACTGTGGTTAGCACTTGAGATGAAAACTATTTAGTAACCTTGGTACTTCCCTACGTGCTGAACTATTTTGCGTGAAGGGGTAGATATAACAACAGGCACTGAAGCCTGACACTCATGAGTTAGGTGCCTTCAGTCTTATCACCTAACCTCTTTGAATTGGTGTCTATTGAATGGGGAAGACCACCTAACTGAGAGCTGTTAGAAAGATTAGGATAATGCATGTACAGTGCCCAGTATCGTGCCTGGTGCGTAGTAGGCATTTGATAAATGATAGCTATCATTATCATTATTAGTAGTATATTGTCATTTTAAGGCTACTGATGTTAACGATGGAGTTGATGGTGACATTTCCATTGAAGGAAGGAAAGCATAATATTATATATTAGGTTGAACCACATGAAATTGATATCCAATTGTTTTTGACATACAAAAATGGCAATTCTTCTGGGTCAATCTAATAATACATGATGATGTGTTTCATTCAAATCACTTTACTTGTTCCAACTTTATCAGATTCTTCCCTCAGTGGTTGCCCCTAGAGACATACTTCCACCGTTCAAAAACTTCCTCGAATCAGTTGCTAGAGGAAGCAAAGCAGGGAGTCTGCCGGAGAGAAGTTGAGGACCTGGGGTCTAGTTCCACTTCTCAGTATCTAGTCCCGTAACCGCCACAGGTCTGAATATCTCTATCTTTATCTGGGAAGAATGGTGCTTTCCTCAGTAGGGCTTTGTGAAGATAAGAAAAGATAATGGATGAGAAAGCACTTTCAGAAGTTAAAGTCATTATACCAAAGCAAGGTATTATCATAATACCACTTCAGAAAACATTAGCATTCAACATTTAATTTTTAATGTTTTCCTATAGAAAAACTGCACAGAAAAGAATAGAGAATTCATGCAGTCATGCCAAATGACCATCAAAATTGATCTTGATATACTCTCAAGTGTATATTAGAACTACTAAGTTAATAGATAATGCTTTTTCCTTCAAAATTGTACCTCATCAAGGTGACATCAATGTGATAACACAGTAAGAACCACTGTGTTTACAAATGCCTCAAAGTCAAGCTCTTAAATTTATACCAGAAAATCACACTTTAGAACAACTCACAAGGAAGACAGAGGAGTCCTCCTCTTCTTTTCTCAGAGGTCTTTAAAATGGGCTGGTGCGTTTTGCATAAAGATGGGGATATAAACTTTATGACCTCCTAAAGTCACTTTCAGACCAATGGTTTTAGCAATTTGCACAGTTTTATTTTGCCTTCAAGGGATGTTGTTTTCCGTGCCCTAAGCCAGGGTGACCAGTTAGTGAGGGAGGATGATGTGTTGGGACCAGCTGCTAGCAGAGGTGAGTGTGGCTCAGCTCCGATCCTGGAGCTTTCTCCCCTTGTCCAGGGAACCGTGGCCAATTCAGGACATCTGGGGAGGGTCACCTTTAGTCAGCCTCAAAGGCGCTGTTAGTGGCTCCCACATATTCCGACTTCTTCTTGTGCCTCGTCCACATTTTCCGGAGGATGCTGGGGACACCGCAGGAAGCACTGCCTGTCAGCGGTAGGGAGGCTTCTGCTCCTTGGGGAAGGGTTGGGTGCTCTTCGGTCAGCTTCTTGAGATGTCTGGATCTAAAATAAAGCCAGGGGTGGGCGGGGAGGGTGGTCACTTCACTGAGCCAGACTTAATGTTTTCCCTTGAGAACAGTGGCCGCAGCTCTCCTCCTTGGCTCCTCCATCCCGTGACCAGGCTCTGCATCACTGGAGGGCCACCCTTGGGACACTCAAGGGATGGCTCTATGTCCCTACCCCTCCCATCTCTCATGAACAGTGACCTTGCTAGAAAGGGCAGCTGTCCCAACTATTGAAAGAACACAGGGCCGGGGGTTGAATCCTACTCCCATCTCACTATGTGACCTCAGGCAAGTGCCTCGACCTTGACCAGCCTCGGTTTCCTCATGTGCAAAATGAGGATAATTTCTTCTAACTCATGGGGCTTTTGTGAGGGCAAAAATGAGATAATAAAGCATCTGGCACATTGTAGATCCTCAATAAATGTTCATTTTTCTCCCCACTTGCTTCCCTCAGGTGAAATAAATGGCCTCACTTTCCGGTAGCCAGGGTTCTGGAACAAATTGAAATGAGGATGACTGAGCTTAGAGAGAAAGGACTCATTTGCTTGTGCTCAGCTCTCCACACGTTACCTCACTCAGTTTTCACAGTAATCAGGACGGTACCTCTGTCATTCCTGTGTTACTATTTTGTTTTATTTTCGAATGGCTGAGGACTCTGGGGACAGAATAACTGCCTGAAGTCGTGGTGCGTTGGGGGCAGTGGCAGCCCGGAAAGCAGATCTGGGTCAAGAGCCCAGCCTTTCACATCCTGAAAACCCCTTTTGTGCTGCCTGCGGTGTGGACGACGTGGTGAGGGCGTAAGCGCACACTCTGAATCGAAATGCTCGCCGCGTCAGAGCAATGCAAAGGCCGTGTTCCCTGGGGGTGCTGGGCTCGCCTGCTCCCGCCACCTCGCGCTGTTCCCGGGCCAGCCTGACAGGCGCTCCGTCCGGGCTGTAAGTCTGGCGTGGAGCGCCTGTGTCTGAGAGCTTCCTCGCCGGCCGGCAGGGGTGCCAGACTCCTCATGAGGCATCTCTGCCACCAGTGTGTCTACGGGGGGGGGGGGGGTTCTGAACATGGCTCGTGTTTACATGCATCTAATTAACCAAACTCCCCCCCCCCCAAATGACACTTCTCCAAGTCTAAAGAATGGCGGTAACGAAGCAGAAACCATGACAAACACTCCAGAGTGATCCTGGGGGAACCGCTGGCCTCATTAGGAGGTTTCCAGCCGCGGGTCTGTGCGCATCCTGAGAGCCTGGCAGCCAGGCCACCTGTCGCTCTTCTGCAAAGGACCAGGACGCTGTGGCGCCCAGCACTTACCCTCTCGTCAGAACAGCTCCCTTCTCCGAGCCGGGGGCTGCCGCCTCCACTGAGATCCGTGGCCCTGGAGGAATCTGCCGGGAGAAAGCGGGAGGGACGGTGAGGATGTGTCTAGTTCCCGCCCTGGCACAGACTGCAGCCCTTTGCAAGGGGGGGTGACCAAGTCGAACCACCACCAACCCGGGCAACAGTCCTCACCCTTCAGCGGCCGTCCGACTCCCCTGGAGGGTTTGACAGGACAGTGCCGGGCCCCACCCCAGTTTCCAAGTCAGCAGGCCTGATGTCGGCCTGAGAATCTGCATTTCTAACAAGTTCCCAGGCGCTGCTGGTGCTGCCAGTCCTGGGACCCCACTTTGAGAACCACTGACCTAGAGAAACTTGAGAGAGCGAAACTCAATCCTGCATAAGAACTGTCACCCTCACCCCGCCATCGCCTGCGTCCAATTTGTTGACAAGTCCTGCAGATTCTTCTCCATTTCCTCTGCTGCAGCCTTCAAGGCACAGTCACCTCCGACCTCCTTGTCTCTGACCAGACCTGCTGCAATCCGCGCGCCCCTCCTGGACTCTAGAACCGCAAGGACTCCCTGCTGCAGGGCAGACCGCAGCCGGCTCTGCAGCTGCGCCTTAGGGGGTTCCTCAACGCCGCACATGTTCCATGCCACCCGTGCAGCGTGGCCCCTGTCACTCCCCCATGTATCAACGCTGCCAGTTCCCGCAGGGGTGGGGTGGAGGGGGCTCACACGGCTCCGCACTTGTCCTTCATTCTCTGGATCCAGGCCTCATCTCTGCCTGCCCTTCAAGCCCACTTGCTCCAGGAAGCCTGCCCTGACGCTGGTGGCCCAAGTTGCTGTTTCTGTCCTCATGTCCCCACAGTGCTGAGGGTCTATGTGACACACTTTGGCATTCCACCTATTCTGTCTTTTGGTGGTTCTCGTCATGTGTTTGTCCAGTCTCTTGGTCCCCACAGAGACTGCCTGGCATGCGGTGGGCCTGAGACGTGACCCCTTTGGCGCCTCCCAAAGGAGGTGGTGAGCCCTTGGGAACGTGGTGAGTTGAAAATTAACTACTGGCCTAAGCAGGGCCAGGTGCAGAGGTCGCTCGGTCAGCTGACCCACACTGTGCTTTGCTTTTCTGCCCTGAGCCCCATGGAAGGCTTCAAGTCATCACATTCCTAAAATCGCTGGGAAATTCCAGGTCGAGGGCACCATCCTTCACCACCTCCCTCTCTCCTGAGCCAGCCAAAGGCTGTGGGCAGAGTTACTGTGCCACCTTGTGGCCTCTCTGCAGCGCTCCCTCCCCACCGTGCCAATGGCCGGGTGAACACACCCCTAGCCCCTTAGCTCTGGAGGACAGGGGGCTGGGAGCTCCTCGTTTCACTCCTTTCCTCCTCTTTCCTTGGTCTAACATCATCCCGTGCATTTCAGCGTCGAATCAGATTTAGCCGTGTGGGTCTGGACCCCTGTCCTGCCCCGGATCATGGGCCTTTGATGAGCTGCAGGAGCCCATCCCCAACCCCCAGGCCCAGAGGAGGGGGCCAGCCATGCTGCCTTGTCCTCCTCTTCATTGTTGTCCCCTCCCCTTTGTAACCATGTCTCTCCATCCCCACCCTGTGCCATCCCAGCTCCCTCTGGCCCAGGGCACCATCCGAGCCCAGCCTAAGAGTTGGGTCAGGTAAAAGGCCATGAGCCACCCTCTTCCCCTCAACCTTGCTCTTTTTCTGTGTTGTTGGAGCTGTCATAGCTTGACAGTCTTCCCTCTGTGTCACCCACCCAGCCATCCTGGTTTCCCCTGAGTACAAGGTTGGGAAAGGGGCCTCCCTGACAAACAGCTTGTTTCATCCCTGCCCTTGGTGTGGATTTCCTAGAATAGTGATGACCTAAATGAGACCCCTGGATTAGGTCTCCTGCCCAAACCAGGAGTGAGTGAAGCACCAGCATCTCTGTCCGATTTGTTCTGGAAAGATGAGGGGCTGGCACAGACAACATCTTGAGTCTCTTCTCACATTGCACCATCTGTGAATCTCGACAGCTGACACTCAGAGAGCCTAGGATGCCTGAGCCAACCTCACCTCCAGCCACTGCTGACTCTGCTAACTGAGAGGGAACCGGACAGTCATGCCCAGAGGATGATGAAGGAGATGTACTGACAGACCCAGAGATGCACCGCCTGATCCCTCTTCAAGGAAGGACAGCTGCCCGTCTGTGGGAGGGAGGAGGGCAGGGTGGGCCTTGGCTGCAGAGGGCCACCTGGCCCAAGGCCACACTCTTCCCATACTGTGATGGAGTGAGGAGAGAACACAAAATCTCAGCCATCCTGGACCAACTCGGACCAATCCGAATGGGCAACACTTGCCCCAGAGCTCCCCACCAGGAGGTGTTGGGCCTGCATCACCCTTCAGCAGCTCCCTCCACACAAACCTGTCTTTCCCGCTCCTGCTACAGGTGTTGATCCCTAATATACATCAAACCCCAAACTCCAAATCTCAGAGTCTGCTTCCGGAGAGCCTGACCTGTAGCAGATGCCCCCATGGGTGTCCCTGTCCTGAGATGGCCGGCTGTTATGGACTGAATGTCTGTTTTCCCCTTCAAATTCATATGTAGAGGACCTAACCCCCAGTGTTATGGTATTGGGAGGTGGGGCCTTTGGGAAGTGATTAGATTTAGATGAGGTCATGGGATAGAGCCCCTATGACAGGATTAGTATCCTTATAAGAAGAGGAAGAGACACCAGAGATTTTGCTCTCTGAGCACGCACAGAAGGCCATGTGAACACACAGTGAGAAGGTGGCCGTCTGCAAGCCAGGAAGAGAGCCCTCAGTCGACACTGAATCTGTTGGCACTGTAGTCTTGGACTTCCCAGCCTCCAGAACTGTAAGAAAATGTTAACCCACCAAGTCTATGATCTTTTGTTATAGCAGTCTGAGCTAAGACACTGGTGTTTCGTGTTTTCACAGTGCTTGAGATCCTTACATCTCTTTCCCCCTATAGCTGCACCTGGGAATCAGTTAGGCATTTCCATCTGGTAGGAGCCTGCCCTAGAAACCAGTTCTTTCCCCCCATATATAAGATGTCCGTTGGATAACAGCTGCTTCTGTTTGTCTAAGAGTTGCCTCTCTAGCAAGAAAGAGAAAAGCAACCAGTGATGTTCCACACGTGCACACGGCAGGACCAGCTGATAGCTTTTAGGGGCAAAAGATGGCCAGTTATGCTTTTCTAATAATTCCCAGGCCTGGAACAAAGGACACTTAGTCTCTCTTCATGGCACAATAGAATCAGACATGATGAGAAGTTTAAAGCACGACAGATACAACTAACCAGGCTTATTTTACTTACCAAAGATTTTGCATATGCTCGATTTCCACACAGATTCGATGCTTTGGGTTCTGAAATCCCCACTGCAAATTTAAATGGAGGAGACATTACTCAGTGGTACTCCGTGTTCTGCCTCCCTCCCAGGTTCTGCATCAATTCCCTTGTTAGCCAATCAATCACAGCAGGGAATTTCTAAAGGCCTTCGTACCAAGCAGCAAAACCAGGCAGTAGGGTCAGGCAGTGAGGCAACTGCCACTCTTCCAGGGGGCTGGAGCCAAGGTCTGGATAAGATCAGTGTGTCTATGTAGGTTGACTGACTGAAACAAACGTACCACTCTGGCGGGGGATGGTGGTAATGGGGGAGGCTGTGCACACGTCGGGGCGGGAGGTAGACGGGAAATCTCTGTACCGTCAGCTCAGTTTTACTGTGAACCTAAAACTGCTCTAAAAAATAAAGCCTATTGAAAAAATCACATATGTGGAAACATTTAGCATTGTGTCTGCATGCAGTAGGTGCTCAGAGAATGTGCCCTCAGTTCTTCCTTCCTTCCTAAGGTCTCAGATCACGAGAGGTTTAAAAGGCTCTTAGGAGTTAAGTCTCTACAGCTGGGATCAATTATTTAACACGGTGCTCCTGGACACCCCTCTAAAAAGAAGCAGAGAAGTCACACCTGTGTTGGGAAGTTCAGCCCCATTAATGTGGAAGGACTGGAGTTTATCAGATCAGAATCCTGAAACATTGGCTACATAAGACGTAACCTTCTTTCTTCTTGTTGCCCCAATCTACTTCTGAGTAATTTCTGCTCTGCAGTGCCTGAGGCTGCAGGTGTTGAGCTGAGGTAGTGGAGTAAGGTGGGGAAAGTTGGCTTTCCACACAGGTCTCTCCTGGTGCAGATGTTCCAGGACAGGTCATCTGATCGTACTAAAGCATATAGAAATGAAACCTGCACCCCCAGGAAGACATCTCGGTGCAATACAATGAAATATTATGATTATGATTATGATTATGATCATAATATTATGATTATGATTCCAAGATCAAACCACAATGAATAGTGTCCTGGCATAAATAACAGCAGCTCATATTTTCGTCTGCGTGCCAGGCGCCATGCTGAGTACAAAGCACGTGAGTATTATCTTATTTCACCCTCACCACACCCTAAGAGGCAGATATCGTAATAGTCCGCATTTTCTAGTTGAAGAGACCTGGGCTTTAGGGATACATGACAAGTATGATGCAGCTGGGTAAGGACGATTTAGGGAGTAGTGAACTGACCTCTTTGGTAGTCTTGCAGGCCTGGGAAGGCTTGACTGAGGGACTCCCTAACCCGATCTGGGAGGAGGTGGAGTTTGCTGGGTGGAGATGCAGGGAGGGCAGCCTGCAGTGGGAACAGTGTCAGTGAAGGTCGGGAGGCAGCATATAATGGAGCAGTCATGGATGGAACTATGCCACAGCTCAGGGCTGCTCCACGTGATAGAATGGTGGGGGTAGGGGTGTCACAGGAGGTGGCCCTGGAGAGGTCACTGTGGTCTGGAAGGGGGAGAGGACACAGCACTTAAAGCTGAGGATGATGGGAGCAGATTTTTGCTTTAGGAGGACCCCTCTGTTGCCTTGTAGAGGGGTCCTTAAGGATGAGACCTTCGCTGACTGTTCTCTACTCAGTGGAGATGAAGGAGGCTGAGCCCTGGCCGCTTGAGGTAGGTACCAAGAGGGTAAGGTGAGAAGTACCTAGGAGTGTGCAAAGGGTGGGGAAGGACAAGGAGGTGTTAGGGAAACATCCGGGAGACTTGCTGGAATGATGGATACTGGCCCCAGCTGAGAAAGGAAGAGAGGTTTGAACAAGTTGATTCTGAGGTGCTTGGGGACATCTCAGTGAAGAAGTCCCACAGGCCCAGGAGGTGGAGCTGTCACCTTTCCAGGCACCTGAGGCCTCAGTGTGAGAGTTTCTCAGTCAGGTTTCTACTTTCAGAGGCCCCAGGAACCTGAAGATTCCTCAGAGCATCTTTCTCCCATGTGAGAGGCTGCGGTATCCAGGTGCCTTCTCCTAGGGCTCTGACAAAAGCAAGTCCCCAGATCTGAGATCCCTGGAGACTTACAGCTTTCTGAGGGAGTGTGGCTTGGCCTTTCCTAAGGACAGCACCAGGGTTTGCCTTTGACTCAGAAACGCTCACTGCCTCCCACCCCCTCTGCAATCTATCAGATTGGGGGAGCTGAACAAATTGGATCAATGCCCAGCTCAGTCTCTCCCTCTCTCCGTCTCTCTCTCTCTCTCTCTCTTTTTTTTTTTTAAACCTGACTAGCATATTCCCTGCATGAGCTGACAGTCACGTGTTGGGCAGATTCTCTCCATTTCATAACCTACTGCTCTTGTCTTTCAGAATAAAAGACTGACTCAGGCAGCCCAAGTTTCCACAAACTACTTAGAAGGGAATGAAAGTGACCCCTAAAACCAGAGAGTTGGGAAGACATCATTCCCTGGGGGAAGAGGCACTAGCCAGGGAATCAAAAGACCTGAGATGTAATCTTGGCTCTGTTGCTAACAAGCAGTGCGACCTCGGGTAGGTCAAACAGTTTCTATGGTTTCAGTTCTGTAAATTGGCAGACGGGTGGCTGCGGTGGATCGGTGGATCGGAGTTTCTCTCCCTTCAGCATGCGTTAGAATCGCCTGGTGGGGGATGCTCATTAAAACAGATTGATGGATCCTAACCCTGGAGTTTCTGATGCAATAAAATTTGCATATCCAATAAATTTCCAGGGTCTGCTGCTGCTCTTGGCACTCCACTTTGAGAACTACTGCATCAGATCATCTTTAAACCCTTGCAACTCAATATGTTGTCCCCAGAGCAGCAGCATATGGGAACTTGTTAGAAAGATAAAATCTTAGGGCCCACCCAGTCCTACTGAATTTGAATCTGCAGAAAAACAAGATTCCCAGGTGATTCTTTGGCACATTAAAATTTGAGAAGCATGGCTCTAAATTCATTTTATGATTTTGTAGAAATATTCTCTTTTTCTCTTTCCAACATACATGCACCCAGCCACCCACCCACCCACCTTCTTATATATAGACACAGAGAAAAATCTCTTAATTTGCAAGGCATATTGTGGGTTTTTTAATGCTTTCACTCTGCATACATATACGTGTATGTGATCACTTAATAGAGAATATAGCTTGATTTATGTGTTCTTATACATAGGATCATAAGATCATGTTCTCAGTGACCAAAGAAACCTTAGTGGTGTCATTTAGCTTCTACGAAACAGGAAAAAGATGGATGGGTGAAGGGACCGTAATCAATGGAGTCTTATCATAGCTCTCATAACATACAAAATTCCCAATGCCCAAAGGCTTTGAGGAGGACACCCCAGACTTTCTGTTGTGTATTTTTGGAGTTAAAATATGAATAGGTTGTGGGCATAACAGAAACAACCTAAACTAGCAATTACAGGCAAAATATTATCACAGACTTTGGTGGGCTAGAGGCAGATTCCTGTTTAGCTGCTTGGGGTGGAAGCCCTTTACAAAGCTAATATCCAAGGAAAGACTATAATGTTTCCAGTTTTCAAAACAAATTTGCCCCTAAATTCTTTTTATAGATTGTTGTTTAAGTCATTCAAATTTAAAATGGTAAGACTTTAGGATGGCAGTTTATGAAGAGCTGTACAATTAGACACACACACACACACACACACACACACACACACACACACACTCTGTTAAATAAATAACGTGAGCTTCCTTTGCTTCAGGGGTCGTGGTTTTCTCTCCCCTGCAGAGCTCATTGATTTATATCTTCTCCTGAATACAGCACCGCTGCCCGTGGAGCAAGATGGGACATACCAGCATCTTTGCTCGTCGCACACACCCAGAAGCCCCTGTTTTACAGACAGAAGGTGTTATGTGGGGCTGCAGTAGGTGAGGGTCGGAGCAGGTGCTTTCGCCGTGGAAACAGCATTTATCCGGAAAAAGCGCAGGTGCTCGGCTCACCAGCGAGCTCCGAAAGCGCAAGGTAGGCCGCGGACACCGCCGCCGCTGCCCTTTCCTAGGCGTGTGAGTGCCTCTAAGTGGGTCCCCGCGCCCAGGGAGGCCCGCGGACCCGGCCCGCAGCTCACGTACCAGGTCTGGCGAGGGATTTGGCGGGAGGCGCCCCGGGCGGCCGTCCGGTCTGGAGCCGGCCCACCCTGCGGCTGTCGCCCGCGTCCCGCCGGTCCCCGCGATGCTGCAGCAGCTCCAGGGGCCGGTGCGCGTACAGGTCTGACTCGATCACCACCTGCCGGGCGAGGAAGGACAGTTAGCTTCCTCCTCTCCTCCGATCCCACCGCCCCCGGGACCCGAGCTCTGCAGATGGAGCTCAGGTCGGCAAGGAATTTTCGGAGCCTTCCCTACTCCAGTGAATGTTAGGAGCAGCAAGAAAACTCGGGTAGAAAACAGGCCAGAAATAATTAACTGTTTTATTTGACTTCAGATTGCCAATCGCCATGGTGCAAGAGGCGGTGGGGCGTGTTCCTCAACAGCAGACCCTTCACAGGGTCAGGAGATGGCCCATTAGACCAAAAACCCAGGTGGATCAGCCACCTGGTGGCCTGACATGTTTTGTTTTGTTTTTGGAGAGGCAAGGTTTCTGATGTTGCCCAGGCCGATCTTGAACTCCTGGCCTCAAGGACTCCTCCTGCCCTGCCTCCCAAGTGCTAGGATTCCAGGCCTGAGCCACTGTGCCAGCCTGATACATTTTGACAATGGGACAGGCTATTCGAAATGAAGACGGTCCTGGAAATAGGATTTGATGGTCTTTTCAGCTAAGTGGATGACACCCTGGTTCATGCAGAGGACAGCTCCAGAGGAGGGTAGGCCTAGGGAGAGAACTGGGGCCCAGCGATCCTCAGATTTTAAAAAGAAAGAAACCGCTGGCAAAATGGAGCAGGTGGGCTCCCCAGAGCTCCCGTGTTCAGTCATGGTCACCTCCTGCGTAGCTATTTGGGGAAGTATAGTCAGAAGAAATACCCCTTTTGGTCAGGGCCCACCAACATGGGCCTTAAAAATTGTAATAAAAATACTTACATCATTGAAATAATTTAACTGTAAACGCTTAAGGCAAAATATAGCAGCCATTTTTATCTTACTGTGGAGAGTCATGAAGGGAATCTTAGCAGTTTGGACTCAGATCCTGCATATTTATACACAGCCAGGACACTGGGGGTCATTCATGGGGGGGGGGTGGGGAACAGATCTTTCATCACAGCTGTTCCTAATTTTATTTTCATTTATTTTCATTCTCTCGGCATTGCACTGCCAGAGGGTGAGTAAGGACTGGCGTGGTGTTTTCAGACCCACTTTGTAGAAGGAGAAAGTAAGGCAGGATGGGAAAACCTGAGGAGTCCGCAGGAAGACCCCACCGATTTCCAGCACTTTCCTCTCTGAAAGGGAGGCAAATGTTCCCTTTCAGGAACAAGAAATGCCACCTCCCCAACCAACCCACTGTGTACACCGTGGGCAGGGAGAGAGTAGGGAGGCGTTAGCTACTCAGCCAGCAGCCGGATGGATATGGGCAGTTTCCTGGGGGTGGAGATGACGCCAGTTACTTCCCAGGTCACGACTTAGGGCCAAGTGTCTCTTCAGGGTCTCTTCTCCAGTCCCCTAAAGGATGCCAATAGCAGGAAAGGAAAGAGGAGAGGAGCCCAGCCCGGAAGGTTCCGGTTTCTTAGCTGGGCCTGGTACTTGGTTCTCATTTTCTACAATGACAGAGCCTCTGAGATGGCTCCGGGGCGGTGTGTGAGGCCTGCACCAGGGAAGGGACAGCTGAATGGGTGACTGTGGCCTCCTTAGAGGCTCCTGAAAGCCTGGTTTATTTTCTGGTCCAGAGGACACAGTCTGGGCTTCCTTCTGCTGGTCTGAGAGCAGACTCTTTAGTACCTTGAGTATAGGGGTAAGATTGGAGAATTGGATGGGGGGGGGAGACAAAGGTTTAATGCTAGAATTTTCCTTTCCTAGGTCAGCAAACTGCCTGCTGAAGTAGAGGAATGTACTAGGGCAATAGGCTTTTCTACAATAAAGTGATGCTCCCTTCTGGTCTCAGAGACAGGAAGAACAGAAGACTCTGGCTATAACACACAAGCCCCACGAGTCTACCCACCAATATCTTCGATTCCCACTTTTGTTTGTTTGCCAGCCTGGAGGGCTGACAGGGAGTCAGAAAGACAGTAAAGATGTAGATGGTGGAGAATCATCATAATTTGGGGCTGAAGGGATCCACAGAAATGTTCCAGCCCAACTCCCTAATTTTACACATAGGGAAACTGAGGCCAAGAGAGGCCACGTATTTTCACAGAGCTGAAGGGATAGAGCCAGGATGAGAATCACGGTTTCATGCCTCTCGAGTGCTCTTTGTAAAACCCACAGAAGTGCCCACACCCAGACAAGAACTTCCAAGTGCAGTTGATTGCACAGTGGGCCATGAATCACTGTGGAAGTGGCCCCATTGTGCTGAAAGCTTAACTGACCCAGACCTTTGTGTACATTTATCCCCTCGAGCTACTCCTATGATGTGGGAAGACTGGAGAGGCTGTCTAGAGAAGGAACAGTGTGTGGCTGTGCCCTGGGTTTGGAAGAAAATGCAACTCAAGAGGAGTCAGTGTCATAAAACTCTGATGCCAACAATGGCTCAGAGAGGAAAGAGAGACTTGTAGAGGAAGGAACCTCACATTCATCCACGCAGTAGCCCAAGGGGTAAGAAGAAATACAAATAAGAATTTTGGACCAAAGAAAGTTGTAAATATTGGTACAGTTGCAAAATAACAGTCATTTTCCCCCAGCAAGATAACGAATCACAGTAGTTTTCAGACCACTAAGTTAAAGACAAAAAGGAACTCAAAAGGAAGCCAAGAGCCAGTTGCTTGAGGAAATGAGACTAGAGACAATTCTTTCCCCTCTGGGACTCACTTTCCCCATCTGCGGAAGGAGGAGGTGGACTAAGAGGCCTCCTCTGTCTCTCCTAATGTGAATGTGCCGTGTGGCTGGGGCTGAGTTTTCCAAGCAGAAGATGGGCGGGGCTGATGGGGAAAATCAGAAGTTCAGAGGAAAGCTCGAAAGACTGATCTATCCCACCTGAAGGAAGACTGGATATGCGAAGACAAGAGCTCAGCCGTTTGACCAAACGACTGAAAAATCTTCTGTGAAACTTCCTTAAATTCTAAATTACCTGCAGTCAAATCCTTCCTTTTCAATTTTTGGGAACACCTCACTCACTGCTCCTTGAAACCTGGGAGTATTTTCCTTCTAGACTTTGGGCTTCAGTTTTTACAGACCACCAGGAGGATCAGAATCAGTTGTCCTGCAACCAAATTTTCCATCCATTAAAGGCCCTTCTCTTTCTTAATGTATAAAATGCTCTCAAAAGTCCTTAGAAAAAGAAAGCTAGGAAAAAGACATGAGTCAGACACACGTGGCGAAAGGGTATTGAAATGATCAATAAATCTATGAAAAGATGAAGAATTACACTAATAATCATAGAAATACAAATTAAAACAATATGATATTTTCATCTATCAGATTGTCGAAGAGTGACATCATTGATACCACACAGTGTTGGCTTGGCTGTTCTGGAAAAGGTACTTTAAAACATAGTTGCTAGGAATTTGGCAATGGCTATAAAATGTTTTCAATGTTCATCTCCTTTGGCTCAGCATTTTCCTATCTATGAATTTATCCTCAAACATTTGGATAAGAACGTAAGAATATGTTCAGGAATTTTTTGTGGCATTGTTTTAATAGAAAAAAAGGGGAAACCCCACTTATTGACGATTTGGTTAAATAATGGATCTAGAAAATTGCAGATTTAGTTTGGGTAAGTAAATTATATCAATAGTACATTCATGCAGTGGTGTACTATGCAGCCACTATAAAGAATAGGGTAGAGCTGTACATAGGAATTGGCATGGAAAGATGTTCAAAATTTATTAAATGAAAAAAGCAAATTGCAAAGCAGTATATTATCAGACAATAAAGCATAATATAAGTTAATACATAGGAAATTTTCACTTTAAAAAAACCAATGCTTAGCAAATGCTCATATGTGTCAGGCTCTGGAGTAAACATTTTTTCATGTATGAAATCATTTGCTCCTTGTGCATTTGTCCTTAATATATGTGCTCTTATTATCCCCATTTAATGCTAAGGAAGTTGAGTCCCAGAATGGCTAGGCAACTGGCTCAAGGTTGCATAGCTGGAAATTGATAGAACTGGGATTTAAACCCAGGCCATTTGACTCCAAAGTCTACACACCTAATCACGTGGGGTGGGGGGTGGGGGAGAATGGGCAGCCTCAAGGCCACACGTGGCCTTCTGGATCCCTGAGTGCAGCCCTTCAACTTAATGCAAACTTCACAGACCAGGGGATGAAAAAATTAAATGGAAAATTCCAGAAACAATTCATACATTTTAAATGGCATGCTGTTTTGAGTAGTGTGATGAAATCTCTCATTGTCCTGCTCAGACCCACCCAGGATGTGAATCCTCCCTTTGTCCAGTGTATCCACACTGTACGCACCACCTGCCTGCCAGCAGCCATCTTGTCAGTGAGATTGGAAAGGCACAGACAAGGCTTGGTGCCATCCTCACTTTCAGCCGTCCACTGGGGGTCTTAGAACGTACCTCCCTTCAATAAGGGGGACTACTTACTGTATTTTATATCTTTGTGATGTTTAACACTTTATAATAGGCATGTACTGCTTTTGGAATTAAAAACATATATATGAAAACTAGTAAAATCCCATTTTCACTCCTGGGACACTTAAAAAAATTGTTTTTCAATGGAGAGTAGGCTTTTAGAAGTTGAAATACTTAAAAATTCAAAATGATATTCTATGAGAAATTGTGATAGAATAGAAACTCCAGTAAAACCAAAAAGAAAGTTTCCCTTTTAAAATAAAGTGCAAAGATGTATTGACAATTTTTATATAAACATATAAAATGAGAAATGCACAGCATTAGTAAGCCCTAAAGACATGTAAAGTAATTTTAAGATAATGTATAGGCATATTAAAGCAGCAAAACATAAAAAGATGAAAGCCAGTGTTGGTGATGTTGGAAGGTGAATGGAAAAGCTTTGCTGGAAGCCCCCCAAATGTTCGGAATTCCTGGAAGTATGTGACAAACTGTAGGCAGAAACCATTTTTTTTTTTTTTTTTTTTTTTTTTACAGAGTTTCATTCTCTTGCCTGGGCTAGAGTGCCGTGGCGTCAGCCTAGCTCACAGCAACCTCAAACTCCTGGGCTCAAGCGATCCTACTGCCCCAGCCTCCCGAGTAGCTGGGACTACAGGCATGCGCCACCATGCCCGGCTAGTTTTTTCTATATATTTTTAGTTGGCCGATTAATTTCTTTCTAATTTTAGTAGAGACGGGGTCTCGCTCTTGCTCAGGCTGGTCTCGAACTCCTGAGCTCAAACAATCCGCCCGCCTCGGCCTCCCGGAGTGCTAGGATTACAGGCGTGAGCCACCGCGCCCGGCCGGCAGAAACCATTTTTAAAAAATCACTATTATATTCTCCACATCTAGCACAATGTCTGCCACACACAGCAGAAATGCAAATATTTGATGAATGAATGAGTGGATGAATGAACGAAATTGTTCTTATCCCTTTACCTGTGAATTCTACTCGGAGGCCTATGCACTGAGGAATTAATCTAAAAGAGTAGTATTTTGTATATAAATTCATTGCTCTGCTATTTATAATAGTGAAAAAATGCAACATTACAAAAGCCAACAATAGGAAAACACCTAGGTCAACACCTAGGATGCTATAGACTCATTGTGGACTCTAAACGAGACAAAAATGTGTATATAAAATGAGGTTTACTCTCTGTGCCTGGAGAAAATGGAAGAATAGGAGGGTCCAATTCAGGGTTGCTTAGCGTCTGGTTGAGGTTGGTCAATTATTTTGGTTAAGTAGAGGACAGACAGTGTACAGCAACAACCACAGGGGACATGGAAAACCCTCCTGGTCATCGAGGGCAGGCATTGCTTTACTAAAGAAAGTCAATCAAAGCAGATCAAAACTAAAGTTTCCTTACATTCTTCGTCAAGAGGTGTTGAGAGCTTTTGACTCTTCTTCTGGCTGGACTGGACACTGCAGAGAGAGACAAAGAAGTGGTTTTAGAAAACGCCGGTGAGGCCGATGTAGCTACAGGTTTGGACCTGGGGCAGGGTGGGGTCGAGGAGGGGCGGGAAAGAGGGAAAGAAGAGGCAGGTTCCCTTGCAGCTGAAGGTGTTACTCGGCTTGAATACACCAAAGTTCACGGCAGCATTATTCACAATAGCTGAAAGTTGGAAACGACCCAAGTGTCCACCAGTAGATGAATGGATAAACAAAATGTGCTGTCTGCATACAATGGAATATTACTCAGCCTTGGAAAGGAAGAAAATTCTGACACATGCTACACATGGATGAACCTTGAAAACATTGTACTAAGTGAAATAAGCCAGACACAAATGGTCACATATTCTATGATTCCTCTTACATGAGGTACCTAGAGTAGTGAAATTTGTAGAGACAGAAAGTAGCATGGTGGTAACCAGGGACTGGGGGGATGGGAGAATGGGGAGTTGTTTCATGGGCACAGAGTTTCAGCGCGGGGTAATGAAGTTTTGGAGACGGATGGTGGTGACAGTTATACAACAATGCAAAGGTACTTAATGCCACTGACCTGTAACACTCAAAAATGGTTAAAATGGTAAATTTTATGCATATTTTGCCATAATTTTTTTTAAAAAAGCTTAAATCCATTAACCATGAGAACTAATACTTGGTTGGGAGAAGGTGTGGATTTTGTTAAAAATTGTGACAAATGCATATCTATTTTCCACATCGCTCATAAAATGACCTGCCTGGAACTGAAATCCCACCATGTCCCTGCCCTGCTTAGAACTGGGGTGACTTCTTAGCACATGTCAGGTGAGTGACAGGTGAGTGCTGTCCTTGCTACCTTCTGCAGAGCCCAGGAGCGTGGGGCAGAGGGTGCTGGTTGGTAGCCAGGGCTCCCGACTCCCTCCCTCCACCTGGGTGTGAATCCAAACTTGACCCTTTGCCAGGTGTGTGATTTGGGGAAATTACTCACTCTCTCGAAGCCTTGCTTTCCTCATTTGTGAGACTGGGCCATTAATGGCACCTTGCTCAGAGGGCTGAGGCAAGGATTAAATGAACTAATCTTTATAAAACCCTTGGCCCAACACCTGGCAAAGAGTAAACTCCCAGGAATTAGAGGCAGCTGTTACAGTTTTTCTCCTCTGCAGGATGAGGGCAGGTGGAAGGAGCGGGGACATTTTCTTAGGATTTCTCTTTCTGGAACTTTCCCCATTTCCTCCTGCCATTTCCTGATTCCCCTGGCCACTTCTCCCCACCGTTGCTCATTCCCAAAAGTATCATTTTGAACGTGTGGTACTGCTCACCCCAGAACTAAATCCGCTCCGGGGTGCCTTAGGAAATAACTTCTGGTACAACTTCTTAGTAAAACCACAGCTTTTATCTTTTGTATTTACTGTGAATAGTGCCTATAAAATCGTTCCCTTAAAGGATTCTTTTTCTCTCTAGAAAGTAAAAATACACACATTTGCAGTTACAGACTTGGTCTCTGTCCTGTCCTTTTAAAATACTTAAACACCATAATATTTGCGATTGCCATATTTTTGTGAGCTATTATGATGGCTCAATTTACAAATATGTAGATATTAGGCTACACTCAATCCATGCGTGTTGGAGGGAGGGATGCAATACAACAACCAATGTCATGATAGCCACATGGAGCTATCCTAGCAATGGCTTATTTGTCTCATCCCTTTCACTTTTGCAGCAGCTCTATGAAGAGGCTGCTCTTCATTCGCTCCACTGCATAGGTGGGGATGCCGAGGGTACAGGGGCCGTGCTTTTGCCCACGAGACTACACCTCCCACGCTGCTGAGCTTGTGCTCAGAAAGGTTTGGTTGCTGCACACTCATAAACATGGCTGAACCACAGCCTTTGGCAAAAGGGCACCCCGGGGAGACTCGACCTTTGTTAGATAAAGTCAAGCCAATTGTATTTCTGCAGTTAGGGAACCTGAGGATGCAATGAAGAGTGACCAGTCTCTCTCCTGAGCAGGGACTTGAGCTGCCAGCCCCGTCTTCTCCCACCTTGTGCTCTAAAGCCTTGGAGAAGGCCAGATGGGTGAAGCGAGATGTGGGAAGAGGCGGACTTCATCCACTCATGAGCTAATGTAAACCTGCAAATACTCCTTTTCTAGAGAACAACTTCCTGAGCAGGGAAATGCCCATGAATACCAACAAATACTTGGTTTAATACCAGGAGGTGGCCAAGAATGAAAATGGCAAGAAAGGAATATAGGATTAAATATTTATCTTTGAACATAGTCATTGCTATAAATACAGAGTAAAAATAGAAATCACTTTGTAAGTGATGTATTTAATGGTGCTTACTATATGCCAGCTATGGTTCTAGATGCTTTAAATACTTTCTATATTAACTAATTTATTTCCCATAATAATGCTGGGAGGAAAGTTCTGTTTCTCCCTTTTACAGAGCGGAAACACAGGCCCAGACAGGTTAAGTAGGTTGCCCAAGGTCACACAGCAGAAGTGGCAGCAGTCTCTGAAACACTTTGTCTTTGCTTTTTTCTCCTTTTAAAAATTTTTAAATGGAAATAAATTATAGAAGATGACATATTTAACATTTTTATATTTACTTCCAATTTGTTTTCTCCTCATATGAAAGAAATAAAAAATTAGAGGTAATATTCTTATCTCCTTTCTACCCTTTCCTAATTCTCCTTCCCTACTACCCAAGGGCTACTGAGATCACTAATTTTATTTGCATCTGTGTTTCCATCCTTTTCTCTAGGTATATATCCATAAACAATATATAGTATTGTTTTGTTTTTCCAAATTTACAAAATGCTATCATACACATATAATTTTTCAGCCTGCTTGCTTTGCCCTCAGCATCATACTTTGAGATCTATGTCCATACACGTAGATCTAGTTGATTCCTATTGCCGTCGTGTAGTGTTCCATAGTGTGATGGCACATATTTTACCCATTTCATGGACATTTAGGTTGTTTTCAATGTTGCCCTGTTGGAGTCAGTGCCACTTGAGCATCCACATGTGAGAGTCCCCTGGGCTATTTACCCACAACTGGAACTGCTGGGTCAGAGTCAGCTGTGACTTTGAGAGTCTCCAGAGAGACTCCCACCTCCTGCACGAGGGCAGACTTCTAGCTCCTTTCCCTCTCTCTCTGTCTCTCTGACAGTATGTGTCTAAAGCTTAATTTATGTTCTGCTGGCTGTCCTTTGTGGCCAAGCTGAGTCTCTCCCTCCCTCCCTGAGCAGTGGCCCTGTCGGGGGCTGACACGGGAGGAAGAAAGGAATCGTTTGAATGTGGAGTCACAACACCAGCAAACACCCAGCCCACTTCATTCAAGTCTGACAATGAGCCCAAGGGCTAAGCCTGAGTCGCAGGAGTGCGGGAGAGAGCAGAGGCAGCAGCAGAGAGGGCTGTGCTCTGGCGGGGGCGAGGGACCTGCCAGCATCCACACGCTTGGAGTCAGCTGAACCCTCACACAAAGCCCTTCCCTGAGACTTAACACAAGAGCTTATAAAGTTGAGATTCTCGCAGCACACGTTTTGATGGTGTTAGCTCCAGGCTAAGTTTGGCAGGGTGGCCCTGGGCTTCTGTGGAGAGGCCAGCTGGGCGGCCAGGGCACCATCCGAGTGCTTCACTGGACTTTAGGCCACTGCCAGGAGGATTTCGCCTCCTGTTTCATGGCATAGTTAGAGATCAGACTTTTGAGCCAGCTGTTGGCATTTCAGAACCCACTTGCTCACTGGAGAAAATGAAAGAATCTATCTCGCTGCCCTGGGATTTTTTTTCATCTGTGTTGCCTAAACAATGGCTTGCTGTCACTTTCGTCTGGCATGTTGGATTGTCAGTACTGAATTAAGTGAAGCAGGGAGTATGTAACTGCCCTCGTTTCCCCCCCTGATGGATTGTTTCTCAGTGATTGATGTTTATCCTTTTTCCTCCTTCCCAGGGGAAAAAAACCCAAAACAATCAAATACCTTCAAAACAGGGAACCCATCGGACCTCCAAGTCCTGAGGCTAAAGCGTAGTGAAACAGCACGTGACGGTCCTCACCCTCCTGCACGAGAAGCCGCGTTAAGGAGACAGTCAAGGGCAATTTTACTCACCCTTGGAAGGAATCACGGTGGTGAAAACTTCTATGTTTTCGTCACTGCAGCTGTAGATCTGATGCATCGTGTCCGCCTTCTCTCCCTGAAGTGCCTGGGAACCGGAGGCCCCTCTCTGGACTCCTAGTCGCGAGGTTTCCTAATCCAGTCTGGCTCGGGGATCATTGTGCAGGTCCACAAAAGACAGGCTGGTGCTGTGAGCTCATCTCATTCCACAGTCTTCCCTGCAACATTTTCTAATCCCATCTGTCCTTTTTTTTTTTTTTTTTTTTATGAATCCTATTATTGCAAACCTTTGATTGAGCGTGGAGGCTTCAATCCCCTCCCAGCTAGAATGTATTTAACATTTTTATTTTGCGGTGTCTGCCGCAGTGAATTTGGAAGTCCTTTGTGAGGTGACGATGAAGTGAAATCGCCTACCGCGTTAGCGCCAAGCTTGGCTGGAGAATTCCACCAAAAAGGAAACCTGGATGTTGGTACCAGCAATTCCCCTTCTCATTTCAGAAATGAAGGGGCTTTTTTTTTCTGGTTTTTTTTTTTTCCCTCCAGGAGAACGGGGTATTCAGTAATTTGTCATGTGTTCACTTGGCTTCCTGAAAGTTTCTATTTTAAACAAAAGGACTGTGTCTCCAGAGTGTTTTCCCCTCGTGCCACTACATGACAGGGCTGACATTTCTAGAGAATCATGTGTTTAGCATCTCCTTGCACAACCCTTCGGGTGCTTACACACACATGGCAACAGGCAGTGCCCCACACACGAGGAGTCCAATTACAGGAAGGTTATATTTCTATTATCCTATGTATTTATTATCTTATGAATCCTATTATCTGATACATATAGTATATGGATTTTATACTGTCCTTTATATCTTATATTAATATACATCCTATATTTTATCTTATATATTCTCTCTTTATGTATATATACAAAAATAAGGTTATGGTCAGAACATATATGTATCACACCAAACCAACTGCCTTTTATGGCACCGTTACAACGTTACTTCTTCATAATAGTACTGAGGGTGATGTATAATATTAACAATGATAGTTGCCATTTATGAAATGCTCACTATGAGCTATATATGCTCACTACGAGCCAGATATATAATTTCATTTAATATCTATAACCACTCAGTGAGACTAGGTATTATTTTTGCCATATCATAGGTAAGGAAACTGAGGCATAAAGTGATGAAGTAATTTTGCTGAGATTAAAATAGCTACTTTGTGACAGGATTAGGATTTAATGCCTAGTTTGACTCCAAGGTCAAATGCACTTAACCAGTAAATTGTCCTCTATTCTTTACCTCCTGTCAGCTTGAATAACAAACAGAGAGAGGCTCTCTAAAAATACTGAGTTTTATTGGGAACAGCAGGGCATTGCAATGCAGGACACTCACGCTATGACAAATCACAGGCACACCCGAGGAGGCTGTGGCAAGGGGAAGCTTAAAGGCAAAAGGAGGAGGACACGTAGGTTGTTTAGAAACAGAAGACAGTGGTAACAAGGGCTCATGGCAGGAGTTGATGTCAGTTCATTAGTGGAGACAGTGTGTGAGGCAAGTGTTCTTGTACAAGCCGCTAGCTGTCCTTGTATGACTCATGTAGCAAGCTGTGGTTTGGAAAAATTTCTTGTGATAGTTCCTGTTATCATTAAATTGTGCTTGAGAGAGCGCTCCCACTCCCATGAGCTCCTGGCTTTATTCTATTAGGGCTGATGTAAGTGACTCCATTTTGATTCTGACAACTTCCACACTTCAAAGCCTTCCCCTCCCTTTGAACGTCGGTAGACCTGACGCATAATAACTTAGAGTTGGAGTTGGTGTCCGTTGATATTTCACAGTGGACAAACAGGGGGCATTTACTCATCAGGTAGTTGTCAATATTATGCCTCTTTCTCTGAGAACTGCACCTAGCCATGCAGAGGATGGCTCTGGGAAGCCATGTTTGTTCTACTTGAACTTGACCCTTGGCCAGGTTTGACTGCACCAAGGTGGACACCTAACCCAGACTCCTGCCTCCTAGAAATTGAAATTGGGCTTTGGTCTGGGGCTAGTAGGGAGGTATACACTCTGAATATCTGGGGCGGTTCTCAGGGCCAATGGGGTAAATTTGAAGGGAAGCCAGCAGAAATACATGGAACTGGTGGTCTGGAAGAGGCCTCGGGCCTGGATGCAAATCTAAGATAAAGAGTTTTAGCTGGGGGAGGGGCCAGTACTTTCTCTGTGGCCCACACTTGGTGGGTCTGTGGCCATGCATACAAAGTGGGGCCAGTGGGAGCGGTGGGGGTCTGAGGATGAGGGCAGTGCTGGAGAGGGAGGAAGGGCATGGGGAATTGAGACCGAGCATAAGAGGCAGAGACCACGGAGGGAGAGGTACTACCTGTGTCCTGCCTTGCCATGCTCAGATAGGTCATTCCTATCTTGGAGTCAGCGAGATACCTCCGACTCCATCTGATAAATTTCCTTTTGGCTTAAGCTTAAGTAGGTTTCGGTCATTTTTAACTGAAAAGGATACTGTCTAAAAGACTTCTTTGTGTCTGTTGTCTATAAATTTTATGATCTTCCCAGTGACTAAATTTTTAGATAATGTAAGACTTAGAGGAGTATCTAGTGCAATAGAAGTGAAGATTCAAAATTATGTTAACAGACTGGAATGGTGTACTAAAATCTACATGATGAAATTTAACAAAACTAAGTGTAACCATCTGTCTTTACATTTAGAAAAATAATTGATTAGGTACAGAATTGGGGTGACCTGGTTTAGCAGCAATTTACTAAGAGGAAATCTGGGGTTTTGGTTAACCACATGCAACATTAAAGAGTAGGGACTAAAAGACACAAAGTTTCAAGGACCTGATGCTAAACTGAAATTAAGAAATATACAATTGCCAACAAATATAACACCTAATGGGTGTGTTGCGCACCGCCTGGGAGATGGACACACTTGAAGCTCTGACTCGGGTGGGGTAAGGGCAATATATGTAACCTAAACACTTGTACCCCCGTAATATGCTGAAAAAATAAAATAAAATAAAATAAAACAAATATATGAAAAAATGCTCAACATCACTAATCATCAGGGAAATGCAAATTAAAACCACAATGAAATACCATCTTAACCCCATCAGAATGGCCATTATTAAAAAGTCAAAAAACAATAGATGCTGGTGCGGATGTGGTAAAAAGAGAATGCTTATACATTGTTGGTGGGAACATAAATTAGTACAACCTCTATGGAAATCAGTATGGAGATCCTCAAAGAACAAAACGTAGACCTACCATTTAATCCAGCAATTTCGATACCCTTTGGTATCTACCCAAAGGAAAATAAGTCATTATATTAAAAAGACACCTGCACCTGAATGTTTATTGCAGCACAATTCACATTTGCAAATATAAGGAATCAACCTAAGTTCCCATCAATGGATGAATGGATAAAGACAATGTGGTATGTGTGTATACACACACACACACACACACACACACACACGCACGCACACACACACACACACACACACATATATATATATACTCTCCTTTGCAGTGACTTGTATGGAACTGAAGACTGTTATCCTAAGTTAAGTATCTCAGGAATGGAAAGCAAATAAGCCACATTTTCTCACTTATAAATGGGAGCTAAATGATGGATGTATTAATATATAGTCATAAAGTAGTGTGCCAGACTTCAACATTATACATGTCATTCATGTAAGAAATAACATTTGTACCCCCTAAATCTATTGAAATTAAAACAATAAGGAATTAAGAACTCTCTGGGAAACCCAAAAGCCAATCAGGATTGCCTAGTTTTAATCTCAAGGGGGCCAGACTGGATTAGCTTTCAGCTAAGAAAGCCCAAACCAGATGGAGACATAAGGCATATTGGATTATGTCTAATGAATGAGCCTGAAACACATAATTAAATGGCTAATGTAAGGAAACACACCCAGAGAAAAACGGTTCTTAAGGAATCGTTTTTACCTCTTTGAAATATTTTTAAATAGCAAAAATAATACATCCTTGTTATAGCAAACTCAAAAATTATAGAGGGGTATACAGAAACAGTGAAACCCACTTCCCCCGTTCTAGTCTCACTTCCTAAAAGCAGTCAAAGGAATCACTGTTTACAGATTGGTGAGTATATTTGCAGATTTTTTTCATGCTCATTCATACATATATTGACATATACATAAGTGAGATTTTTTAAAAACAGAAGTGGAGTCATACTACACTGGACACACATACAGCTCTCTTTTTTTTTTGAGACAGCATCTCGCTCTGTCGCCCCAGGTAGAGTGCAGTGGTGTCATCACAGCTCACTGCAACCTCAAACTCCTGGGCTCAGCTGATCCTCTTGCCTCAGCTGTGTGCCACCGCACCTGGCTGATTTTTCTATTTTGAGTAGAGACGGGGTCTTGCTCTTGCACAGGCTGGTCTCCAACTCTTCAGCTCAAGTGATCCTCCCCCGTCTTGGCCTCCCAGAGTGCTAGGATTATAGGTGTGAGCCACTTCGCCCAGCCTAGTTCTCATTCTTTAAGTAGATATATAGGAGATCACTGTATTATAGGAATTTATCCATTCTTTTCTTGATATATCTGTAGCTTCCATTTTTTAAAATTAGAAGCAATGCTGCAAAGTACATCCTTGTGTATGTATCTGTGCGCGTGTCTTCTAATATTTCTGTAGGCTACATTACTAGTTGTGAAAGTGCAGGTCATATAGCATATGCATATTTAAAATTTTGAGGGATTTGTCCAAATTGCCTTCCAAAAATTCTGCATTGAGTTGACACTTTTGCCAATAGGATATGAGGGGCTTATTTCCCACACCCTTGGCAATACTTGATATTATTAATCTTAATTTTTTTTGCTAAGATGACCCTGTTTGGCTTTAGTGTTCTGAGCCCAGAATCTTTTTTTTTTTTTGAGACAGAGTCTTGCTCTATTACCTAGACTAGAGTACCGTGGCATCAACCTAGCTCACAGCAACCTCAAACTCCTGTGCTCAAGCGATCCTCTTGCCTCAGCCTCCTGAGTAGCTGGGGTATAGGTGTGCACCACCA